TCAGGCTTGGGCCCTAATAATCCCAAGGAAAACAATAGGGCCTTCGCCCCTTCAGGGCTTGGGCCCTAATAATAATAATCCTAAGGAAAACAATAGGGCCTTCGCCCTTTCAGGGCTTGGGCCCTAATAATAAATATAGCTGCGAGCAGCGATGGCGGGCCCAAGCCGGTGGCACCGCAACCCCGGTTCCTTTAGTTACCTAAAGGCACCCGGGTAGCGGTGCCGAAGGCTTTGGCCCTTTTATGATTAAATGTTAAAACAGCTTGCCATACTCTGTCATTTCGACTAGTCACAATTATGTTACAGATGTCTTAAATGATAATACAAACTATCCAAAATGTAATTACGAATAGACAGAAATACGTTGTTGATATCTACAATGTTAATTCCGGACAGGCAAACTTAGCTTTTAAATGTTAAAAGGGCTTGCCATACAGGGACGTAGGCTCAGAGAGAGGCTCACCATATTCAAACCAAAATATCTGACTTCCTCTTGGTCCGAGCTAATGACTATGTATTAGAAAGTTGTCCGGCTTGAGGAGTACAATGTATATACCGATTTTTGTAACTGTAGATAAAACTAACAACCCCACTTTTGTCAAAAGGTGGCGCTATTTAGTCCTTGCACATTGCCCGTTTCTGAAACTTTGCACGTCTACTGGCTAATAAATGTGATGTATCTGTTGAGTTTCAAGCAATTTCAATTTCAATTTGACTGTTGAAAAGAAGTGCGCCGATTAGATACTCAGGATCGGTATCGGCTCTGACACTGCCATCTTTGACGAGGCTGATTCAAATTCTATATTGTGCATATACTATTCTGTTAGGCACAAAGGCACAAAAACTTTCTAAAGTACCATAAAGTTTTTGTGTACTGTATTATTAGTGTTCTGAAGCTATTATGTGATATAGAAATTAATATTTAAGTCATTAAATTCAAGAACACAAACTTTTCCCTCTCTGCGCCTGTCAGTCATTCTCCATTCAGCATTCAAACAGCACGTCACATTCGGTTACAGTCAATGATGAAACGATCTTCAATGATTCAATGTTAATCCTATTATACTGGATCTTTAAGATAAAGGTCTAAAGGTCTATATTTTCGAATGAAGAAACTTTTTCTTGCTGGACTTTATTGCTGTAACTTAATCGTGTTACTTTCTACCGGGTGTCGGACGCTGTCGGTTAGATCACAACACTAGAGTCAGAGCACTATAATTGTTCTTCACGCACACAGTAACTGAAATTTAAAACCTTTAAAAGAAAAGGCTCAATAAACTATTGCATAGATAGATAATGTATAATACACTGTTCATAAATATGTATTTCCTTTGTGCTTTGAACTTTTCAATACGGACTCAATGCGCTGTAACTTCATGTGGCTTCAAGCACATCATTCTCCGCTCGGGATGCACATAAGTGCTTTGTGCTGCACCGTATTGGAGCCGTAATATCATAATGCAGTGACGTAATGACAGATTATTAATTGCCTTTCAATTATATGTTGCTTTATAGCAGCCATGGCTATATTTTTTTCATGGCTATGATTTTTGTTATCTTGTTTTTCATGAATGTATTTTTCAAAAATAAGAGCAATGTGTATTATCTATTATTAATATGGTTTATAATAGCATTTTTGTCATAGATTATGACAAAGTAATCATATGATCCACCAGCGAGGAACCAGCAGAACAGAGTGAACATTCTTTCTGTTTAGTTCAATCCTACTTAATAGGAATTTATTTAAAATGCTCGCTCTACTCCACACCATTAATGTCTTGTGCGGACATCCGTATTTTGACTTTCGGTTTTAAGTAAGCGATTTAAAAGCTCCCAAGTCCCAGCGGAGTCACACGTTGATTAACCGGTGGGAATATACACAATAGGCCTACCTGATATTGAACACAAGAGGGCAGTATAGCACTACGTATGACTCAGATTATTATTTTTTTATGAATTTTACAACAATTCTGGCTGTTTTTGAACGTAAACACAATTCTTAAATGAAAAAAAAGGAAAAATTGGGGAAGTTATAATATTTGTATAATTTAATTTAGAAACAAATGATGTATAATTACATTTTTAGAAGATATGAGGCTTTTAGTGTTTACTTTTTGACATTACTTTAATCTTTTGCCATAGTTGCACATGTCTATTGGCTAATAAATGTGATGTATCTGTTGAGTTTCAAGCAATTTCAAGCAAGCTAAGAGTCCCAAAAGCATCAAAAAATAATGTTAAAGTTTGTTTCGTTGCCACGGCATTTTGAAAGTGACACACTTCCTGCTGCCAGTTGGTGGCGCTATAACTTTGACTCACAATAGTCACATCCATGTGATCGGTCTCTTACAGCGAAAACACTGCTGAAGTTTCATCAAGATCAGTTAATGTATGCTGAAGTTATAACACACATCCTGTTCCATGTTTCTCGCCATAATTTCGTTTCCTCGCCACGGCCAAACCGTTCGAGATATCAAAAATCCCGTGGCACTTTTTCATCCTTAATGTCTTGACTTCACGCTGATCGAGTTTCGTCGAATTTGGTTCAGTGCTCTAGGAGCAATAATTTAAATTACATTGCATGTGTTTTAAACACAACCCTAAATAGCCAACTTCCTGTTGGGCTGGGGTAAAAAGTAAGAGTGTGAAGTATATATGAAACGATGAGATCTATATGTGTACCAAGTTTCATATTATTACATGCAAGTGTGTTTGATTTATGGACCAAATTTTCAGACCAAGTTTATTGACCAAGTTAATCTGATTAATAAACTAATTATATAAAACTATTGTCAATTCACTACAATTAAACTAGTTATATGCCTTTACTTATAAAAAATAAAAATAAAAACTTATTTAAAAAATACCAGGCTTGAGAAATGTATTTTCTTTATGCAGGTCATACACACAGCAGTGAAATGGTTAAGCCCCCTCCCCCTGCACACACACACACACACACACACAGACAGCCAGCCAGCCAGCCAGCCAGCCAGCCAAAGGCTCAGAGTGGCCATATTCAAACAAAAATATCTGAGTTTCTGTGGGTCCTAGCTAATAAGTGTCAATTAGAAAGTTGTCCGGCTCGAGGAGTACAATATACATACCAATTTTTGTAACTCTAGTTAAAACTAACCACCCCACTTTTGTCAAAAGGTGGCGCTACTGAGCCCTCACCACGCCCGTTTCTGCAACTTTGCACATGTCTACTGGCTAATAAATGTGATGTGTCTGTCGAGTTTCATGCAATTTGAAGCATGCTAAGGGTCTCAAAAGCATCCTAAAAGCATCCTAAAAGAAGGGTAAAGTTTGATGCGTCGCCACGGCAACAGTTTCAAAGATATCAAGAATCCATTCACAGGTCTACATCTGCCGTATGTTTACATTATACATATGAAGTTTGAAGCAAATCGGGTAAAAATAAAAGGGTGATATCTAAGCATTTTGAAAGTGACACACTTCCTGCTGCCAGTTGGTGGCGCTATAACTTTGACTCACAATAGTCACATCCATGTGATCGTCCTCTTACAGCGAACACACTGCTGAAGTTTCATCAAGATCAGTTAATGTATGCTGAAGTTATAACACACTTCCTGTTTCACGTTTCTCGCCATGATTTCGTTTCCTCGCCACGGACAAACCGTTCGAGATATCAAAAATCCCCTCGCAAACTTTCATCCTCAATGTCTTGACTTCACGCTGACCGAGTTTCGTCGAATGTGGATCAAAGCTCTAGGAGGAGTATTTGACATTCCATTGCGAGCGTTTTACAAACAAACCTCAATAGCCGACTTCCTGTTGGGCTGGGGTAAAAAGTAAGAGCGCGAGGTATAGATGAAACGATGAGATCAACGTGTGTACCGAGTTTCATATTATTACATACAAGCGTGTTTGAGTTATGGACCAAGTGTTCGGACCCCGTTCCAGGGGGCGCTGACGAGCTGCCCTGCCACGCCCGGGTACCATCTTCAGCCCGGCTCTGATGGCCGCGGGTTCTGACCCGTGTGCAAAGTTTCAAGAGTTTTCGAGCACGTTAAGGGCCCCAAAAGTGCCCAAAAGGTAGCAAAATAATAATAATACTAAAGAATAATAATCCCAAGGAAAACAATAGGGCCTTCGCCCTTTCAGGGCTTGGGCCCTAATAATAATAATAATCCTAAGGAAAACAATAGGGCCTTCGCCCTTTCAGGGCTTGGGCCCTAATAATAATAATCCTAAGGAAAACAATAGGGCCTTCGCCCTTTCAGGGCTTGGGCCCTAATAAAAAGAAGAAGAAGAATCCTATAGAAAACAATAGGGCCTCCGCCTTTTCAAGGCTGGGGCCCAAATAATCATTAGGAAAACAATAGGGCCTTTGCCTTTTCAGAGCTTGGGCCCCTAATAAATTAAAAATTAAGAAATTTTAAAAATTTTAAAAACCAGAAATTAAAAATAAAAAGTTCTAACATGTAAAACGGGAACATGAAAGGAATATTCTAAAAGCAACCCATGTAAACACCTTATTCAGATTAAGGTCAATAATTAAATTACTGCTGTCCATGTAAACATACTGAATGACACACCTCATATCACACACCTCTACTGTCACAGTAGCATTTAATAGTTCAATGTGGTGCACCAGCAGGATTATTTGTTCATAACAGATTATCACTGTCCAACTCCAACCCACAAATCCTGCCTGCTGCACCTATTCCTGTTTTTAACTTACCACAGCATAAGAGAAGAGAAAGATTGAGTCCAGAGCACCCAAAAACAAAGTAGCCTCCCCCACATCAGCAAACAGTTTGTTATCCTCCCATGTCTACAATAGTAAAAAACAAAAAATAAGTGAGTAGCATTATTATTATAAATTAATAATAAAAACTGAAAATTCTGCATTGGACTTTGATTTGTAGAACTATATTGCAAGTTGTGAGAATGTTAGTTTGTATTTTTGCCAACCAGAAAGAATCAAGTGTGAACTGACTTAATGCTTGACCTTGTGTTGCCCTTTCACAGACTTAATGATTCATCGCCTTTGTCACAAAAGTAGTCATGTGAAATATATATTATTTATACAGTACTGTGAGGCATTCAAAAGGACAAGCATCAACACAGTGTTGTGAGGAAAAATGCAATTTTTCTCTCATCCCTAGGACCTGGCAGAGCACTTTTTCTCCAAAGCATGCAGTGAAGTTAACAGATAAGACATGGACTACTTGTTTATGAATAAAACTATGTTAAACCATAACAAATGTTTGAACTTGTGCAGTTTACGTGCATTACATTCATGGCTGCAATCTACTTATCGAAAGTTTTTTTTTCTTCTGATTTTCTGTATTAATATTTTTTGTTGTTTTTAATTGAATTAAGATTTACATTTTTGAGTAATCAGATACTAATTTTTTTTCAACAACAAAATGACTGGAAATGCTCATTTACTAACATCATTATCTATCAGGCTAGGGACAATGTTGCTCCTTTCTATAGAGAGAAATCACATTTTAAATAATGGGAAATTAAACAAGTAAAAAAAATTTTGGAAGTATGTATTATATGCGTACCACTCCAGGAGACAAAGCTACAGAGCTGCCATTCTGCTGCAATCCCGACGGGGTCCATTGTGCTGAGATGCTAACTTTCACATTACTAAAAGTCTTACGTGACGAGTGAAGCAGGACATAGCTGGATAGAGTGGGGAGATAGACAGTATGAATGGAGATGAGCACATGTATTATGCAAGCTCATTAACACTATGTCCTTCATTAAGTTCTTCATGTATATGGGTCAACACTAACTTTCTCTTTCATTTCTGCATTATTATACATGAATCATTAGACTTTTCAAAACCACATGAAACCAACATTATACAAAGCATGCATTTCTAAGAACTTGCCACATGTGTTTTATATTATATTTTCCTTCTTTTTAAAACATTTTTCATTTCTTTATTGTGAAAACTCTTATAGTTTCTTGCAAAAGTATTCATACCCTTTCACTCTTTTCACATTTTATCATGTTGCACCAATAATAACAAGGGAAAAAACACATTACATTGCATAAATGTTCAAAGCCTGGTGACAAATTGAATTACTTGACATGATTTGGAAAAACACACCTGCCTATACAAGTCAATGCTGGAAAATCATTTTAGAGCAAAAACCATGAGGTGAATTATGAGGTCAAAGAGACTATATGCACAGATCAGAAACAGATTTGGGAAAGACTACAAAAAAATGTTTAGGTAAAGGGTTCACATGAGCACAGATGGGCTCAAAAACTCTTAAACGGAAGAGGTTTTCCCTTTAGAAAAATGTCAGGAACATTATTTTTAATCAGTTGACTTTATCAATCCTTTGTTGCATTACACGGTAATGGTGACAGTCCAAAAACGCATTTTCCCACCTCAAGTTTGCATGCTTATAACTCAAAAAAATGTAAAAAGCTATCTTAACATTTTATAGATTTTGGAACTCAAGATCCTACGACTCAGATCTAGAAATGTGGGGATCTGAGTGTGGCTCTATGAGAAATTGTTTTGTAGGCTACACCTTTTCAGTAATCAAAAACCATATGTGGGTCACTTTGCACACAGTTAATTTTTTTTCCTTATTGAAGAGAAATGTCTGAAGAACAAAACATTTCAAAACTAGAAATGTATCTTGTTCCCCTTTATTAAAACAATAACATAGAAATTAACTGTCTGAACGCCTAGAATATTCTTTTTCCAAAGTTTGCGTGCCTGTAACTCAAGTATTACAGATATCACAATATCAATATTCTGGTTCTTAACAAACTCTCCTTTTCTTTTCTGATCTTCATTTTAAAAACCTAGGATTTGGGATACACAATGTGGCTCCTTTTCTGTTGAATTTTACCTATTTTAATGTGGTAATTTTGCAAGCAAAGAATACTTTTTGAATATCTGAATAAGAACAACGTTGAAACTAGAAATGCACCTTTATTTATTCACATAGAAAGAATAATTTCAATATCTTGATTTTTGAATCTACACATTGTCTATACATTGTATAAATATTAAATAACAAGGAAAATGTTTAGCTGGTGCAATACCTTTATTTATTTTCTAGATTTCATGTATACCGAACAAGCTCTGGAAGGTATAGCAGTAAATTATCCCTTGAATGTGTTATCATTTGAGGTGATATCAGTGATTCTGCTAAATATGCTCCTCAGCAGTGAATACTACTAAGTCTATGTGCACATTTTATAACAAGACAAAAATGTAACACTTAAACAATGTAACACTGTAACAATTAAACAAACCAGGTGAGGCAAATATTGGTTGATTGAATACACATATGACATGTGTGGGGAGAGAAACCAGTCTTGTTTGCCATGAAACTTATTTCAGCCATGTAGTTACTATTGTGTATTTGAACTCTTATTCAAATAAAGAAACTTGTGAATACACTATTGAAAACTATTTAATACACTATTGTTAATTTCAATGTATTTGCCACTCAGGCAAGTATGTTCTTCTGCTTGCAATCATTCTGATAAAGGGAAACAGGATATATTTCTAGTCTCAACATTATTTGTTAGTCAGACATTCCTCTTTGTATACAATTATTCACTGTATGCAAAAGAAACAACTGATATTTAGATACATTTCATATTTATCAAGGTACAGGCATGAAAACTTCGAGGAGTAGACAAAAAGTTATTTTTCCATTATAACATGTTACTAGCTGACCTACCAATCTCTGTATAAAAATAAAATAATGATGATGATGCTATCTTTCTAAAGTCATTTTCACTCTCATATAATTTGGCTCCAAATTTGAAAATTGTAATTTTGATCCCCTTTTGTCATTTTTGTGTAATTGTAATTTTCCCCTTGTGTAATTGTGTAATTCCCCTTGTGTAATTGTAATTTTGATTTACTCTGTAAATATTGATCCATGGCATTTCATATTTTAGCTTTCGTCACTACTTATATTTGTATTTCTTCACCAGAAATAATAACAAAATCATTTAGCCAGGCAAGTTATGTTTCTGAAATTTAGTTGATTTGACATGGAATGACCCATAACATTTTAAGTAATCAGAATACAGCTAGTTAAATGACATACAGCTCACAGAACTTTGCGTTATGTCATCTAAGATGGCAAACACGGCAGAGTTCAGTATACTTATTATGCACAATAAAATAGTGCCTGACACATGTCAGCAAACCATTCATGTAAAGCAGGTCTTTTCATCAACTACAGATCCAGGGACAACCACACAGAATTTCGACCAACGCAGATAACGTTAGAACATTTTATATTAATATTATAGAAAAGCTAGCAATATTAAAATAAAAGCTAGAGACTGTCAGTAACGCAGGAGAAACTGATTACCATAGTAAGAACAGAGCAGAAGGTGGTAGGAACAGGAGAGCATACCTGAGGAAGGTGAGGAGGAAAGCTAGCAGTTGATGATAGGTGCAGAGGGGCCACATTATAAGGGTCTGGGTCAAAGGGAAAGGAAGAGAAGGGGCTGGAGTCTTCAGCACACTCTACTGGACCATCTAAGTTACAAACACTACAAACACACCACATCACATCACTGTCAAATCTATCCATCGACAGATAGATAGCTAGATCAATAGGCGCTATCAGATTGTTAACGTTACACTTTAATGCTCGTCTTTAGCTTATCAGGACATGATACATATTTACAGCCTTCCAGAGATTTACTAATAGTAATTAGCTATACTCACCAGTAATTATTTGCTGTAAATAAATCTCTGACTGGAAGATATTATCGTGATTGTTTTGAAATGCAACGTAAACACGTTCAATCATAAACACGGACGTCATCCGGAAGTTGCACGTTTCAAAATAAAAGTCACATTATTACGGTTCCGAGTCAGATCAGTGAAGCAGGGATGTTCTTATTGTTATAGGGACATATCAACCGCCTCTTTTCTTTTCATTATTGCTCTCTTACAATACAACAAAATCAATAACAACTGTAATTATTAAAGTTATTCTTTTTATTTTACAGCTTTATAATACAACAAAAGCAAAATGGAACAACTCCATAACTCACAATAAATAACATGGCTAAGAATTTACACATCCAGTAAAGTGAAAAGCCTGTCCAAAAGTTTTTTGTTTTGTTTTTTTCCTAACAAAAGATGAAATTGTAATAATGTAATGTTTTATCTTATTTAACAAAATAATAAGTTTCAAGTTTTCAATAAAAATAATTAAGCCACTTTAAGCCAACCACTTCTGCTTCAAAATATCCCCAAAATAAGACTACAATTTATCATTTAATTAATGTTTATTGGCAAAAGGCAGGAATTTCCATTGGAAATGGTAGACCATCCGGGGTACCTTGCATTGTAAGAAAAAAGAAAAGAAAATAGAAAATACAGAAAATAGCTGATTTTTTGACGTTCATTTTCTTTCATTTTAATTTGTACTCAAAATGCTATTAAATTACAAATAATATCTTTATATTGTATAGTTTTTTCTGTATTGTTAAATGACATAAAATGTATGTAAAATTATAAATAATCTGTAATTAAACAGTAACAAAATAATGATAAGACAATAAAATGTCAACTAAAGTCAACCGTTTTAAAATAATGATGCTGACATTTTTCTGTCAGCAAAGTAATAAAACGGTTAAATTACTGGGGGAAAAAAACCCTGTAACATTAAAGTAAAACATCCTAAATGAAATAAACTGAAAAACACTTATTTTGCAGGTATTTCCTATATTATCACAATGATACACCTTCATTGTAAAAAGAAATCGTAAAAAACTGGTCAAATGACTGGCAGCTACGGCTGCCAAACAAAAATCGCAAAATCAAAGTAAAATATTCTAGTTTAAATAAACCGAAATAACACTGTTATTTCATAAGTAATTCTTGAATTATTAAAAAAAAATCTTTAAAAAAATGGTCAAATGACTGGCAGCTATGGCTGCCAAACAAAAAAAAAACAAGTAAAATATGCTAATTTAAATGAAGTGCAAAAAACTCACAGAATTATGATGTCACCATGGAGATCATTGTTTGCTTTAGTTGGGCTGTTGACCCTTGAATTTTTAACATTATTTTCTCCCTGGCTGCTTTAACTGTTTTTGATACACATTTGTTATGACAATAAATGCAGGAGAAAATGTCATCAGATTATTTTGTAGTCATCATATGGTGACCTGATTCACTGATATGACTTTGAGCCAAATCTCTGAGGTTACATAATGTATATAGAGAGAATTAAATTGTATATGTAGAGTATGATTGTCAATTTTTCACAAGATGATATTGTGGAGCTGTGGGGGGTTTTTTTTAGGAGTACAGAGATAAAGAATTAACATATGAATCTCAACAATGGTGGATTCGAACCCGATTCTCTCACACCAAAGGCATGTGTCTTATCTAGAGCCTGACCGATAAAGGATTTTGAAGGCCGATACCAATACAATTTTTTGGGGGTTTTAAAATCCGATATTCCGATATATCAGCCGATATTTTTTTTTATTAAATATTGTTGGATTTCACACGTGTAAAAGAAAAGCTAACTTTTCAGCACAAGATACGTTTGATACTTTTTCTCTGTCTAAATGTTCACTCCTCGCAAGTATAACTTGACTATAACTAGAGATATGCTAGTTATAAATACAGTAATCATTACTTTATTTAGGCAGAAAAAGTTCATTGTTGTTGCAAGCTCATTAATGTTAACGTTAGCGGTCTTCCACTGATGATAGTGGCATTAGCTATCTTTGTGGTTAGCTAGTCTATGATGAGCCATAATTTAACAATAGATAACATCATACTGCAAATTGTAAAACATACATTTTCAATATAACAGGCCAAGGAGAGATGATTGAAGTGTGTTTTGTCCGTTTTTATTTTATTTTTTAAATATTAATTTATCGGCCATTATAACTGCCTATACTGATATTTTGGAAAATGCCTAATATCGGCCGATAATATCGGCCGGCCGATATATCGGTCTGGCTCTAGTCTTATCCACTGCGCCATCACCACCCATGTTCTGTTTCTGCATGGTCTGATTTGTGGGTAACCATTGTGTTGAAGAGTAGAGCCTGTGCTTCAGTCAAAATAAAAATGAGCAGAGACACACTGACGATATGCTGCATGTTGCTGTATTTGACTGTTAGTAACTGTGTAGTTGCTGATGCAGTGACGTATAGTCACAGTAAATCATGCATGTAGTTCACTACAAAATATTCACTTTTTACAGTGAATATATTTGTAAGAAAAATTCAGGAAAATATGTGTGAAATAACTATTTATGTGTTAAAAAAGTTTAATGAATTTTTCTGTAAAACTCTTTTGAACTTTATTTAAATTAGGATATTTTACATTAATTTTATGTTTTTTGTATGGCAGCCTTTGCTGACAGTTATGTTTTGTTTTTGTTTTTTTACTGTGGTGTTTGATCGTAATAATTCAGGAAATAGCTTTAAAATAACAGTGTTTTTCTGTAAAAGTTTTAGCACTTTATTTAAATTAGGCTATTTGATGACAGTCATTGACCATTTTTTAAGGTTAAATTTTTTTCAGTGTGGGGATACTCATTTCAACTCTTATTAAACCATAAGAGGTTTTAATTAAATTAATTAAGCTTTTGGCATTAATTAAAAACCTTGCACAAAAGCACTTGACCCAAACAAACAACATCTTTCCAAAGTTGCAGAGTATACCTCTTTTCCACAAGATATTGAAGCCAAAATATTGGGCCGCGCAATACTTCCGTTATGCATAGCCGTCTGTGCACTGCCACTAGGTAGGCTGTATCGGCATTACACTCGATGTCTGTACTGCAGATCTTCCAAGCCGACCTTGCTGGAATTGTGCTGGGCTTAAGAAGCGCTATGGACCTGGCTCTTCACACCGCGAAATCCGCTGCACAGGCCAATGGAACATGGGTGGAACATGGCTTCTCTCACCGTAGCTGAGAAACACCTATGGCTGATGTTATCTGAGATGCAGAACTCGGAGCGCTCCGCATTCCTCAACGCACCCATTTCCTCAGCTGGCCTCTTTGGATTATCCGTCAAAGATTTCACGGATATAATCGCAACAGCTCTGAAACCTTGGAGCAATCGACTGGTATTATTCAGGTGTAAACCTGGGGACTTCCTCAAGTATGAAAGTGGTGTCCACAGATGCCTCCACCTTGGGATGGGGAGTGCTGCTCGGGGGCAGATCGTTCTTTGGTCAGTGGTCAGAATTGGAGAAGCTTCTACACATAAACTGTCTGGAAATGATGGCAGTCGACAACACGCTGAGGCGTTTTTGTCCCCAGATTTAAAAAATCATTTAAAAAATATCTGTACGCTCAGACAACATGTCAGTGGTGGCCTATATAAATCAGCAGGGTGGCGTCAGGTCCTGAAACCTTTACAGGCTGACAGAACGCCTCCTGGTCTGGGCTCAGCATAATCTGTGCTCATTAAGAGCAGCACATGTGCCTGGTCACCTGAATTTGAGACCAGACAGACTGTCCAGAAACAATGTTCCAGCAGGAGAATGGTCTCTGCACCCGCAGACGGTCATACTTCTATGGGAGACAATCGGCAGAGACCTGTTTACACTCTCCAAGAGCAGAGATGCATGTATGGGCAATCAACGCGTACCTGCTAACCTCCCGGAGGGAACACGATCACGCGGGCTAGAGCCCTATCTACTAGACGACTCTATTCCTCAAAATGGTCTGTGTTTTCTGGCTGGTGCCAAGCTCGAGGCTTTTCGCCCCTAGACTGCTGGGTCACAGAAGTTCTCTCCTTCCTTCAAGAGCAATTGAATAAGGGCAGAATGCCATCCACGCTCAAGGTTTACGTGGCAGCCAAAGCAGCATTTACAAAACCAGCGAATGCCCAGACACTTAGGAAGAACGATCTGGAGGGAGCTAAGTGGCTGAATCCTCCCAGATCCCTTTCAGTTCCCATGTGGGACCTTTCTATGGTTTTGGAAGCAATGAAAGGTACCCCATTCGAGCCAATCCATTTATCAGACATGAAACATTTGTCGTCCAGTAAAGCGCATAGGGGACTTACAAGCGCTCTCAGTAAGCACGACGTGTATGGAATTCGGGCCAAATGACTGAAGTCATACTCAAACCAAGACACGGATCCGTGCCTAAATCCCTCAAGGGGGAATACCTACTCTGCGTGAGTATGTGTCAGAGCGCACTCCACAAGAGGCATGGCCTCTTCGTGGGCTTGGTCTAGCGGGATTACCTTGCAGGATATCTGTAAGGCAGCAGGCTGCGCCTCCCCATCTACATTTATAAGGTTTTATAACCTAGAGGTTCCCGCCATACAGGCTAAACTGCTTTCGGTCTAAAAGATCAGTATTGTCTGCTCCGTTGCTTCAGCTCAGAATACTGAAACCGCTTGAGCACCGTTTGCTGATTGAAATAAAAAATAAAATAAAACCTCTGACTGTGTGGAACAGTGTTGATGTGATTAGCTCCCTATGCTACTTATTGGGAATGACACTTCTAGCTCTCTGTGAGTCCCTGGTGATTATGCACTATATGAGCCCCAGGCACCTGCCCTTGGGACTCTTGTGTTGGATCCCAGCACGCACAGCGTTTTACTGTTTTTTTTTTGTTTTGTTTTTTACTGTTTTACTGTACTGTTTTACTGTGTGACTGTTTGAGGCTGTGAACAGGTGTCTTTTCTACAGATGACCGGTTCAAACAGGTGCCAATAATACAGGCAAAGAGTGGAGGACAGAAGAGCTTCTTAAAGAAGTTGTTACAGGTCTGTGAAGGCCTAAAATCTTGCTGGTTTGTGGGTGACCAAATACTTATTTTCTACCATAATTTACAAATAAATTCTTGAAAAA